TATGAGAGTATATAACTAGAAACACAAGCTCAAAGTGTGTGTATAAAAATCAGGAATTTAAGGCTCTTGAAATAGCCAAAATATTGAAAATAATTAATAAAAGAATGAACACACTTAGAATATAAAGGGAGGATGTTTAGAGCTTTGTTTCTTGAAAAAATATGAAGGATTAGGCTTGTATTTATAGTGGAAGATGTTAATTAGCCGTTGGGAGGTGATTAGGATTGATTAAATTCAAAATCACAAATCAGGAACAGTAATCCAACGGTCACGGTAGGGGGGTCCCGTCCATACGGTAGGGGGGTCCCGTGCTTACGGTAGCTAGGTACCTTCTCAGGCCAAAACTCTCTAGCGGTACCTATCTTAGTACGGTACCCCTTATGGTAGGGGGTCCCGTCCATACGGTAGGGGGGTCTCGTGCTTACGGTACCTAGGTACCTTATGACCATTTTGACAATTTTTTTATTTTTGTCAAATCATTTCCAATTTTGTTTAAAACCTTTTGGATGTTTGAAAATGATTATAAAAGGGTTTTAAACATGTTTTGTGAGTGTTTTTGAGCTTGTGAATATAGGTATATAAAATCATATCTTTACATTGGTTTCTACCTATATTCTACGCTAGTTTAGTGTTTCGACTTCATTCTTGAGTACCGAATCTTAATAGATTCTTGTTTTTCCTGAAACACTTAAACAAACGTTAAGCTCTTATATTGTTTGTTAACATCAAAACATGAAGCTTAGCAAACCAAGGCTAACAACGCCCCACAAGGCCTAGTTCTTGTCTTAATCTTATCGGTGATTTAAATTCTCAATTCAAATCAGATCCACCTAGTAAATCAAAATTTGGCATTCATAATTTATCATCAATAAACTCTTAGAAGGTCATAAAAAACTTCATGCAAGTCGATCATAATAACCGCTGGCCGTAGGCAACTATCGTGACAAAACAAACTCAGGCAGAAAGTTTTTGCCTAGCACGGCACCTACCGCTATCGGTAGCTAGTACCTGGTTATCGTTTCATGGTACGAAGCTATCATCAGTCGGTAGTGACGCACTGTCTAACAGGCCTGAGTAACTCCGGTCATCTTAAACCTTCCTTCGGCGATCGCCGGTGAGGTTTCTAATGTTGGTTCAACGTCAAAACATCCAGAACACATCATCATACAAGTATAAACAAAAAACAACTTCGAAATCATACTCCTACGACAAATTTACAATATATACTTCAAGAATCAATTCCAACGAACTCATCATCACACTCGTACCACATAATGAGTTGAAAGAACGAATACAAATGAAGAAGTATACTATAAATTAATTCTAACAATAGATATATGAACCACGATTCACATCAAAAATTGAACGAACAAAGCATATCAACAAACCAAATAAACTAACAAAACGAGCAAGGTGATGATATGGAATCAATGGCGTCATCTCCCCCTCATTGTTCCTCCCAGTTTTATTACTCTATAGGTGCGTCTGATATCGGTAATATGGCGTCCATGATGTACGTTTATATGGAGTATATTAATAATGGTGTTGGCAGGGTTTTGTAGTTATGGTAGAATAAGAATATATATATATATATATATATATATATATATATATATATTATGGAAAGGAGAGATTTTTATTAATGAGAAGAAAAAAGGTACAAAAGGAGGGGGGGTGGCCGTCCCCAACACCAGGCCACAGCAAGGAATAAAAAACAAGAGAAAAACCCAAAGAACTAAAAACAAAGGGAGAGGACCAAGCTTCCAAGACAACATATAAAATGACAACAATCACATGTTCAACAATCACTTGTTTATTTTCCAGCTACTACCCAAATGGTACATGGCCTGAAATCCGGTCCTTCAAACTGGTCCATCTGCTTTTGAAGAAAGGTGAACAGCTTCTCCAAAACCCATGTTGATTAATCGATTGAATAAAGAAGCCTCAACATATAATTCTCAATTGCAAGAGTAAAAAAGACCAAGGTGATACACCAATCCTGAGGGAATCAAGATTACAAGTTGACCAAATGGGACCGATCCATACTCAAAAATCAGAATCTATGAAACTGCTGCATTGTGATTATTATCAAGACTGCCTATTCATTTAAACCCATGGGTCATATACTGTCAAGGACTACCAAAAATGCAAAAGAGAAGCATAATCAAGAAGCCAGAGATCCTCGGCCAAAAAATTTCCTTTCCCTTCCTAGAATAGAAACAAAACAGGAGCTAGAACTACCCTTGTCCAGAACAGTCCTGCAAAACAATTTGCTGGCCTAAGTAACTAAATTATCCTCTTGAGTCTCACCTGAAAAAAAATCAGTAACAATGTCCTTATCTGTATTAGCATAAGATAGAAAGACAGGATATTTAGCTCCCTCTAGGTTGACCAAGTTCACAATCTCCATGCTTCTAATTGTTTCCCTGGTTTCCCTCAAAGCTTTTCCATGTTGATTTTGAAATAATCCCTTTTTGAGATCATCCAATAGAGCTTTCTTTGCCAATGCCTCTTTTATTTGGTTCTCAACTGCCTTGAAAAGTGCTTCAAAATATCCTTGAAAAACTGGTTGGAAGAGTATTTCAGTATCTAAAGCCTCTTCACAGATCTCCTCTTTTGTATCTAAACTAGAGTTGTTATCCTGTTTTGATCTATCAACTATCTGTGTAGCCCACCCAATATCATGTTCAAGAGGCTCGGAGGAGATTGATGGCTTCCGAATTGCTTCATTATTGTCTTCCAATTTTTCTAATAAACCAGATTTCTGTCCCTGAAATGATGGGGTTGACTGCCTTGTAACCAATTCAATTTCATGTTCAAGTAGCTTTGATGATATTGAAGGCAGTCTCTTCTTGTCCTCTTCCTCCTCCCCTACCTGTGACACTTTTCTAGTGTCCCCTATTGCTTTTGAAGCTTCAATTCTGGAGTTATTAAGAGCTGAAACCTTTTCTTTACCACCTTGGATTTTCACAGCTTCAATGAGAGCTTTAACAAAGATATTAATGCCCTCATAATTTAGCCCCACTGGGATGAATATCTGGGCCTTATTGCCTTCAGATCATGTGAGTATTCTTACAAAAACCCCAAATTGATTTGAATCCCAATAAAACTTAGTTGATGTTCGACCTTCAAATCTTGTAACAGTATATCCTTTTCTTCTTAATGGTGGGTGATTCAAGGACTCGATTAACCATAAAGCAGAAGATCTCGATATTGAGAGGTGTTGAGTCTTACCTTTCTTTGATTCAGCAATCTTGATTGAGTTTGAAGCTGTAATTTCAAATTTTTTACTTTCAATTGAAAGCAAGAACACCCCTGGCTCCTCAAAAATTGGACCTTCATATCGATTCCTATAAAATCCAATTTGGTTACCGAAACCCTTAGCTCTTTCCCAGGATGGATACCGTAGTTTTGAATCCCTCCACCTTGTAGGTTGGTTCGGGTGATGCAGCCTCTGTTCTCGAAAATCCCGCACCGGTGATCGCCAATTTCCTTCAAATCGGTGATTGTATCTAGCATCGAAGATCCGCCGTTGGGGAAAGCTCTCCCATCTCTCTAGAAACCCAAGCCCCATATATATATATATATATATATATATATATATTTATTTATTTATTTATTTATTTATATATATATATATATATATATACACACACACACACACACACACACATACACACATAGAGAGTTTGGTTCCGGTGAGAAAGGGATCTAATGAAAGAAATGAGAATAAGTATAAACCCTCCGATCTAATGAGATCGTAATCTGATCGCCAAGGCATAGAGGTCTTTTTACGACACTCTGTTAAACGCTAACCATCGTGATACATCCTCATCCCCGATTTCTCGCTCATGATCGTATTCACCTTCCCCAATTTCTCTGTATCTATTCCACAGATATGAATTCCCTTATTTATCAACCTCTTATTTTTACAAACCTCCCAATCATCCGATATTGGGATTCCACTTGCTCGATTGATTTTTATCATGGTTCCAGGTATGTTTTTTTATTTCGTTTTGTTTAAAATTATGTAAATATCGTCTCGAATTTTGCTCGCCTGCTACAGTTTGTTGGATTCATGAATGCTTCTACATTCGATGTGAAATTACATGTAAAAATTTGTGTTGTTTACAATTTTGCTGTTTGGGGTTCTCGTTTTAATTTCTTCCTCGTCATTTCTCACAGCTTCATGAAAGTATGCTTCACGATTTTGTACACCTTATGTCCCTAGAGGTTCATATATTACTTCTATTATGCATTTTATACAATTTGTATTGCACCATAATGTGTGCTTACTGCATTAAATAGGATCCACTAGTTTGGTTTCAAGAATGCTTCTGCTTTCGTTTGCTATGTACTTGTTAGTATTTTTGTGTATTAAACAACCCCCTTTATGACTCTATCGGCAGTGTACCCATTCATATATTTTTCCTCTATTTCACATTTTGTGTGTCCTGTATTGCATAATCATGTTGTTCGTCTGTTTGTGGTTTTATTTTCATTATGTTGGTCAATTTCAACCACTTCAAGAAATGATGTTTCATGATTTTGCGCACCTTCTGTGGTTACATATTCATATATTTCCCTTTATTTCGCATTTGTGTGTATTCTGTATTGCATAATCATATTTAAGCAGTGCATTAATCAACCCTTATATGTCTCTATCAACAGTGTGCACATCTACAACTCCAAATGAAGACTCACCCCATACAACAGAAATTATTTCTTCTTCATCCAACTTATTTATTCCTCTTTGCCCTGAAGAGTCGAAGCCTAAAGTGGGAATGATATTCAAATCCTTAGAGGACGGATTCAATTTCTACAAGCAATATGCTTCACTAGAAGGTTTTGATATTCACAAAAGCACTAATTTGAAGGTTTCAGGTGTTGTTGTGTGGCGGTACGTTGTATGCAACCGTGAGGGTCATAAACATTTTGCATCAATTGTTAACAAACCCACTCACGATGACGGAGACTTGACAAAGGCAAAACAGAGGAGACACATTTCAAATCGTGCTGATTGCAAGGCGCGTGTGGTGTTTAGGCTCGTGGGTGGTGTAGGATACTCCATATCATCATTCATAGAAACTCATAACTATCCAATGTTGTCCCTTCCATCTAGGCCCTTTTTGAAAATCAACAGAAATCTAGAAATTGGCCACAAGAAGTTTATGTTGAATTGTGCAAAGGCAAACATTGGCGCAATGAAGTCATATAGATTGTTTAAGGAACCATTTGGGCGCTACATTAATGTGGGTGCCACTGCAGTTGAGTTTAAAAATTTCAAATGAGACCTAAAGGCATACATTGCACGTGCTGATGCTCAAATGCTCATTGACAAACTATTTAGAAAGAAACAAACATGTGTTGCATTCCATTTTGATTATGATGTTGATGAGAGTGACCAGCTAACTAGGGTATTCTGGTGCGATCCTATCGCTAGGAAGAAGTACGCAATGTTTGGAGATGTCATTTCGTTTGGCTCAACCTTCAACACAAATAGGTATATCATTTAATGCATTATGTTCTTACTATTAATTTAGCACTATAAATATGTGTTGCACACCTTCTGTCCCTACATATTCATATATTTTTCTGTTATTTTGCATTTTTTTGTATCCTGTTCTGCATAATCATATTTACATAACACACTAAATACGCGTTTTCAGATGTTGAACTAGTTTGGTGTCGGTGTGTTACTCGTGATGCAGGTACAAAATGGTTTTTACACCTTTCACTAGTGTAGATAACCACCGCAGATGTGTTACTTTTGCAGCTGGTCTCCTGCGCAGAGAAGATGTTCCTTCATACAAGCGGTTGTTCAATCGCTTTCTTGATGTTATGGGTCATGCCCCGCAATGCATAATCACTGACCAAGATGCTTCTATGGCTATTTCTATCCCAGAAGTATTCCCAAAGACAATCCATCGTCTCCATCGTCTCTGTATGTGGCATATTACGAACAAGATTACGGCCAAAGTTGACAATGAACTTGCCAAAGATCAGGTCTTCTTGACAAGGCTAAACTCTGTGATATGGAATCATTACCTCGAGCCTGAAGAGTGGGAAAAACAATGGCACGAGGTATTAGTTGATTATGAGTTGGATTCTGATTCATGGTTTCGTAATCTTTTTGCTATTCGTAAAAGCTGGATTCCTGCATACTTTAGAGATTTGTTCATGATTGGTTTACTATGCACAACATCATGTTCTGAAGCGAGAATAGTTTTTTTGGTGATTTCAAAACTAAATTCTTCACTCTTGTTGAGTTTTATATGCAATTTGAAAGTGCTATGGAATCTCAAAAGCACAAAACTGCAGACTTGGATGCAGATTCAGATAGTAGAAATGCATGTGCCGAACTTGCAAAGAGCTAGGATATCATGATAGTAGAAATTGTCCAATGAATCATTCGACATAATTAATTCATCTTCCTACACACATCTTATAACTATTTGTAATCTTTTCAACTTTCATTATAACGCCACATGCCATTAATATGCTAATTACAAATTCATCAATGCATGCACTATACGTATTTCCACTACATCAAAATGTATAGTTTTGATTCAATACCGCCTCACGCATTTCACGTTCTATGAAACATGCACTAATGGCTATAATAGTTCATGTATAAACTCGGAAGACCCATAAACATCGGGAGATTATGAATGTTTAAAAACCGACACCTAGTTCTTCTCCAAACTTATGTGTATTATACAAATCTAAATTGGAAATTGCTTAAATTTTACCGAATTCACCACTCTGGAAATCTGTACCCTTCATTAAACATCTACTACATTGCACTAAAACCATTCCAGAACGCACTTACAACACATAAACTCCTGGAACAATTTCTGCACCAATCACGTTCTAACTGATTGAGTAGTTTGAAAGTCACTTACTTCTTCTCCTAACTAGCTATACATTTGACCAAACTCATCACCACTGTTGAAATCTGTACCTCTCATTAAAGAACTACTACATTGCCCTAAAACCATTCCAGAATGCTCTAATAACACAAACTCTTGCAACAATTTATGCACCAATCACGTTCCAATCCAAACTCATTAACCTTTTTGAATGAAATTCCCCTCCAACACTCAAACAATATTTCAGTAGTATTGCACTAATAGACCAATAAACATACACCAATGTATGAGTACTATGCACTCTTTTTGAATACCACATTCCACACTCACCCACACCTATTATCTAATTTCGGATTTCGCTACTCAATGACAACTATTATCATGTCAACTCTATGTAAAATAACAATGCAAAAAACGTCTCATTAAAAGACACTAACGTCCAGTTAAGTTAATACTGGAATTTTTTAGAAATACCAAAAATTATGTCTATCTATGCTCATACTGAGCAATAATTCAACCCCATCTAGCAAAACGAACAAGCCAGCATTGACTCATTCAGGGGTTGCTCCCTGAACCCAAATCTCAAAACGATACGAAACTGGAAATTCTAGAAAAAACAAAAAAAAAGAGTTCATAATCCCCATGAAAAGTCAGGCATCAAAAACANACTATTATCATGTCAACTCTATGTAAAATAACAATGCAAAAAACGTCTCATTAAAAGACACTAACGTCCAGTTAAGTTAATACTGGAATTTTTTAGAAATACCAAAAATTATGTCTATCTATGCTCATACTGAGCAATAATTCAACCCCATCTAGCAAAACGAACAAGCCAGCATTGACTCATTCAGGGGTTGCTCCCTGAACCCAAATCTCAAAACGATACGAAACTGGAAATTCTAGAAAAAACAAAAAAAAAGAGTTCATAATCCCCATGAAAAGTCAGGCATCAAAAACATGAATTTATAATCCAGTCATGCAGTCTTCAACGGCTAGAGTGCTTCACCAGATGCCTTATCCTGTCCTTAACCTCGTTGACATCTAATTCGACTATCGCAACACAATACTTTGTCTGAAGTGCATTCACCGCCTTCTCATCCCCCTTTTTCAATCCACAGTCCCACCGCTTCAATGCCTGGCCTGTGTACGTCTCCATATTCCGCATTGTAATCACACTATAATAAAAAACAGCAATCGAATCTCTCCACGCAAGTTGCAATCATTTTGGTTCTTGTGCCTTCAGTTTCTCGACCTGGCCATCTAGACCTTTACTCTTGAAATGTTTTACGACCATGTCTTGCTGCAATCAAAAGGATGATAAAAGATTACAATAATGAAATACGTTTCTTCTCATCAAATTTTAGCATTTTTACTCATTACATTATACAAGATATGTATCCCCCTTAAACATTTGGGTGATTCCCTATCAATTTATACTTACAACAACGTTTGGCATCTTGTCATATTTATCAATCTTTTTGACGCCGGCTGATGAGCTGTAGAGGATATCAACCCTATTCCCCTTCAGGTTCACACATATGCAATAAGACCATCAGTGTTGCATTACTCGGAACAATATCTGCACGTTTCACAACGTATTATGCATTCCAACAGTATATGCATATAATATAAATAAACATACCAACATTGCAAGCATTAGTCAAAAACAGACATCAATAATCTCACCATATCAACATCACATGGATTAGTCAAGCTCCATCCATATTCCAATTCATCACAAACCACCTTAAAAGCATCAGCACCCTCTTCCATCTCCCCCTCAATCATGAACATCTACGATTGTATTAATTGTATAATAATATATTTCCAGGCATCAAAAAAATTGCAGATTTAAGTGTCTTATTAGAAAGTAACATACACTTCTAATCGTTTTCGCAAAAAAACGGGCAGGAGATGCAACGCTACGAAACAACTCCTTGTGATTCAATATGACAGACCATGCATCCACTACCCATGGAGAAATGTGTTGGCAAGTCGCCAACGTCTAAAGGTCTCCACGTTCAACTAATACATTATACCCACTGAACACAATTTCATTCCTACATAAGTTTTATAGTACCAAGATCAGGAATGTCACTTTAAATTTCCGAATATGATGCATTGTTTAACCAAAGTTAAAGCATAAACCTTTCAACATCTTGCTTGCTTACAACCCACTTCCAAAAATTCTTTTCAAATGCATTAACATTCTCTCTTGGATCAATCACACGTGTTAGGTACGGTGACTTCAACGTCAAACCTGTTCTGGGCTTCCTTCTAGCCCTTTCACCTTTTGCGTCTTGCACAACCTATTCAAAACAAATTAAACGAATGGCTGGAGATAAATATGTCATTTATTTAATAACCTATTCTCATACATCATCGATTTTCCTCTTCAACCCAACATCTTCTTCAATTCTTCTCTCTTCAACCGTCACCTTGATCTATAATGAAACCCACACAACAAGTTCATCAAAATATGTGCAGTACTGTAACGCATATATGCAACGTGTACAAAAACTTTGTAATATCTCATTGTTCAAATCTTGGAGATTCTGCACTACATCAAATTCTGCACCAATCATGACTTCATTCTGCTCTATCTATTTGTTGTGCTCAACTTCCTCTCGCATCACAGAACTCACACTGCCAAATTCCAAGGTTGTGACAACCATGCTCGGGGTGTTGTCAGGACCAGCAGGAGTTATGTTCACTTGCTTCACCTCTTCATTCACCTCATTTCTCTTTTGCATCTCACGCATGCTCTCCATCTTAGATACACCCCCACCTTCTTCTTGAAGAATTTGTGTCATCCTTATATTGAAAGAAGGCACATCATTAATAAACTCTTCATACTTCTTCCGCACCTCAGCTGCCTTTGCCACTTCATCAACCGCTGCCCAAAGCTCTCGACTGCTCCAGAAGTCTGAATCCCCAAACATGTCTGTTTCATTGTGTGTGTGTGTGTGTGTCTATATATATATATATATATATATATATATATATATATATATATATATATATATATATATATATATGAATAGGAAAATATTATTAAAGGAAAATGAAGGAACAAGGGGGGTGGCCAGCCCGACAATAGACCAAAAGGAAATCCAATCAACAAGGGAGTACAAGAAGAGCTGCCAAACTACAAAACTTAAAAAGAGAAGCTGCGAATAACTAAAGGAAAAGAGGAGCTGGGTTAAAAGACCTCCAGCTACACCCATATCTGCATCCCCAAAAAAACTTGCAATGTAGGCCATCCTGTAGTTTATCAACCCAAATATCACAGCCAGGAGTACCGTCCAAATTCCATCCATTACAACCAAACAAGGAAGAAAGTACAAAAGCCTGTCTATGTATGACCCTCATAGTGTCTATGTATGACCCTCATAGTAGGATGATGAATATGCTACTCCAAATATGATAAACCTGTCTAATCCTTATGCATATTCCAAAGCAGAATGCCTAATTTCCAATAAAACATTGAGAGCCCTTTTCTTTAAACCCCTGGAATGAAGCAAAGTTAAACCATCTTCTTTAGGTCCTCCCTTGAGCTACTAAAGACAGCAAGCATCAAATGAAACTAGTAGCTAGATACGAAACCAAACCACTCGTTATGTTTTCCTGGATGCATTAAAAGAAAAAGACTAAACAGTAACAAATTTAATCTTGTGACTCTTTAGCCTATTCCCCGGTAAGATAATTCGCCACAAGCTGTTCATCAGCTTTGGAACAAGAGATGAAAACTGGGTATTTAGAATTGGTGGTCCCAAAGTGGTGAAATACAAAGTCTAGAGGGGGGGTGAATAGACTTTGTTACAGGTTTAAAATCTTTTTCGTTTCTTTTGAAAACGAGAAAATGAGTGTTAATCTAGAGTCCTTGTGAACTTTAGATTGTGTGCGGAATTTGGTGGGTGGAGTGAGCAGTAATCAATATGGATAGGTTAGTTTTCACAGTTAATATAATTGCAAGTAAGAATAAAGATAAGAGAGAGAGACACGCAAACTTTAACGAGGTTCGAAGGTGGGGTAATCCTTCTACGTCCTCAAAATCCACTATGTAGTTGGTTGTTGAATAATGAACCAACAGTTACACTTGTGTGAATTTCTGCACGGTATATCTTCACAAGACCAATGTTGCTACTGCACTCGTGCTGGCTTTGTTGTTCCTTCGAAGGTCAAGCTTCTTCAACAACTGCAAGATCCGAACAATAGGACTTGCAAGATCAACTTGTAAGAGAGTTGACCTACCCCCTTTTAATCAATAAGTTTGATCAAAAGTAATATCCTTCA